ATGTCTGTGCATGAAAACACACAGACATGAGAAAGAAGGTATGAGTAAGTGAAAGATACAAGTTTTAACTTGATGGAGTTTTTACATGATGTTGAAGATATGGAGACAAGGGGTGGAATGTCCTAGGGTGACTGTTATGGTGTTTGTATCTCCAATCGTGTGTTCTGTTTACGTTTGATATTATGTTCTGTGCTTTCAGAACTGACTCTGAAAGTGAAGGTTTGTTTTGCTGTGTTATCATCTGGTTCACCTCCCCCCATGTCTGCTGGAAAGCTAGAAAAGGCTAGGGCTGGCTGGCTGGCTTTGCTTTGCTTGCTTGCTTGGCTTGCTTGCTTTGCTTGCTTGCTTGCTTGGCTTGCTTGCTTTGCTTGCTTTCTTGCTTTGCTTCCTAGTTAGGTTAAGCAGTCCAATTCTTTCCCTGGACTGTTGCTTTTTTTTCCTTCCTCTTTCTGGGATCTGGGAAACACCAAAGAACACCAGGAGCCTGCATTTGGAGATCTGCAGCAGCCAACCCCAGCGTCCAGACCCAGGCGACCACTCCCAGGAAAGACCTTCTGGATTTGTTCAGCTCTTCAGAGGGGTGAAAGAGTTTTGTTGTCATCTTGTGTTGTTAATTGTTTTGGTGCTGGGGAGTGCTTTGTTGTTGAATAAACAGGTTCTTTTCCACTTCTCTCTCAGAGGGAATTTTTCCCTGAACCAGGTGGGTGGAGAGGGGCCGTGGGGGTTTATTTCCTGGGTTTTCCCCAAATTTGCCCTAAACTAGGACAGAGGGGAAAAGGGGAACAATTTATACTGACTCAAAGTACGCATTCGCGGTGGTACACACCTTTGGGAAAATATGGGAAGAGAGGGGACTTCTAAATTCCCGGGGAAAGGGACTGATACATGAAGAAATAATCAGGAAAATTATAACAGCAATTAGGGGACTTAAGGCAATTGCCGTTGTCCATGTAAGGGGACATCAAATCGGAATGCAGTTTAGGACCTGAGGGAACAATTTAGCAGATTAAGAAGCAAAGAAGGCTGCCTTGTTTAAGGTAAGTACCCCGGAGATCGAGGAAACGGAACCTCAGGAGTTCCCACCCCCTCCGCTCTCAAAGGGAAATCAATAGTTATCAGGAAATTGGGAGTTGTCTAGAAGATAGTAAGTGGAAATTACCAGATGGGAGAGAATTATTATCAAAAGAATATACAAGGAAAGTCCTGAAAAGGTTGCATCAACAAACACATTGGGGGGCCCAAGCGCTCGCTGAACAATTAGTGAGATTTTTCGGATGCAAAGGCATTTATGAGTTGGCAAGACAAGAGGTACAAGGATGTTTAATATGCCAGAAGGTAAACTAGGCAAACTCTCGAGAGATAACTATGGGGAGCCGCCCTGTAGCTTACCGACCCTTTGAGAGGATCCAAGTTGATTTTACGGATTTACCAAGGGCAGGAAGGTATAAATTTCTACTAGTAATAGATAAACTAACCCACTGGGTGGAAGCTTATCCAAGCTCCCAGGCTACAGCCCAAACAGTATCCTGGTTTCTATTAGAAGATATCATACTCTGGTATGGGCTGGTGAATTACATCAACTCAGACCAGGAGGCACATTTCACCTCAAAAATTATCAAAAATTTAGCAGATGCCCTGGGGATCCGGTGGGAATACCACACCCCGTGGCACTCCCAAAGCTCTGGTCAGGTCGAACGAATGAACCAAACTTCAAAAGCTCAATTGGAAAAATTAATGTTGGAAACAAAAATGACATGGATTAAATGTCTCCCCTTGGCTTTATTAAACATCCGTACCATGCCCCACTCAGAAATAGGTATCTGTCCTTTTGAAATGCTGTACAGTATGCCCTATGCACACGGGATGTCAATAGGACATCCAAGATTAGAAGACAGGCAAATACAGCCATACTTAACAGCCTTGAACTAAAATCTCCAAGAATTGCGGGGGCAAGGAGTAATTACACAGAACAGCCCCCTTGGCTTTTCAATTCACAAAATAAAGCCAGGGGACAAGGTGCTCATTAAAATATGGAGAGAGGTAACTCTCTCGCCTCATTGGGAGGGTCCCTTTCTCATTCTTTTGACAACAGATACAGCCATTCGAACAGCGGAAAAAGGGTGGACCCATGCCTCACGGGCCAAAAAAATTTGAACCATGGGAAGAGATGCCTGAGTAGAAGGTCACCTCCCCGCCTGGAGATCTAAAGATAACCTTACGCTGGCTGAGTAAATGACTGAGAGCTTCTCTGTCAAGTGTACTGAGCCAGACTGCGATTGTTACCCTTTTATACATTTTATTTGTGAATACTGTAATAAGGTGTGGGTTACACATTGTAGGGCAGGAATTCAACTCAGCGGGCTGTGTTTAAACTGTTTTGAACAGGAACAGTATGTGACTAACCAATTTCTAAATCTAGCCACTAGGCTAGGATTAATTGAACTTGACTCACTAATCTGGTTTCATCAATTTCAGAACAGGCTAAGGAGCAAACTACAAGCCACAGCTTGGATCATTACCATTGAGTGCCATAGATTAAATAAGGTACCTTGCAGTGCAGATCCTGTTGACTTGTGCCAGTGGGGCATTTTTAAACAGAGATATGCATCCAGGCCCTGGCATGAAACCACAGATGATGACTCCTGCTGCCAAGAAGATGGTTTGCCCTGCTGCTGGCCGTACCCCAGTGGGCGTAGGGCTAGGCAGAGGGTTGTTAATGGTGGGAGTAGCCCTGACAAGCCTGAATCTAGCTGTGTGCCTCAATAATTTACCCAGCCCTGGGAGGCAGTATTCCAGCTGTGAGCACAGTACACAACTCGATGAGGAGAGAATCAGGAGGTTAAAAGACCGTAACCTCTCTGACCCTAGGGAATGCAGCAATGGTAAGCCTTGTGAGCTCGGGCTCGTGATTTACATGCAACGGGGGTAATCTAAAGTGGGGAATAAAATAGAACGATGTCCATTGCAGGCAAATTTTGAAAACGGTCAGTCCACACACCTATTTCACAAAAGGATGTTAACCCCATATCAGTCCCAGTGTGTGACAAATGCAATTGCACAGTATGGATTGGGGTAAAAAGGGAATAAATTTTTGTAGCTTATTTTCAAGCCAATACATTGTGTTATGACCCTGACAAATTAGAAATGTGTATGATGGGAGGGAAAACATATTGGGTAGGAAACAATGTGAAATATGAGAAAAGAGACTCCCTCAGGAATGAGCTCATCATTCTAGATCTTCTAGATGATCAGGATGACAGGGCTTCCTTACAATATGATACGACATTTTGTTTCTCAAGGGACAAAGAAGGAATGGACCCAGAAAATAAGATTAAACAGGTAACTCAAGAAATAAAAAGACAGGAAGCTGAGATGAGAAGAAAAAGGGTAGAACAAGAAAGATTAAAACCCCTAAGTGAACAATACGACCAATTGGAAAAACAATATACAAATTGGGGCCTACCGGCCTCGGATCAGAACTTATTTGTGGACTTGATGCAGGAGATAGCTACCCAACTGGGCCTATCTAACTGTTGGATCTGTGGTGGACTTAAGTCAGCTGAAAAGTGGCCCTGGAAGGGTGAGAGCTTAACCCCAGAACAATTACAATTAAATTGGAAAATTAACAAAGCCCCGAAAATTACCCAACTACTTGAGGGGTGGGTTCTGGATACTAGAGTGATCGGGACTGTTTGTCTCATCCGGGAGGGAAAAGATTATACAGAAGTGGTGGGGTACACTCCGTGTGTATCCACTTTAACTGTAAATTCTACCGGGAAAAGCAAAATCTGGCAACCTGAAAGTTCCACTGGATACTGGAGTAAGGAGAGAAGGGACCAGTGTGAGTGGAGCGAGAGGTTGGGACTTTGTTGGCATACCAGCCCTGGGGCAAACCCTTTTAAATCTTTAGGAGAATTGAGTAGGTACTGGGAGGAACCTGAAAGCATCAAAATGAGGTGGGAAACACCCAACGGTCCATACTGGATCTGTGGGAAAAAGGCTTATGGTGAACTTCCCCAACTGGAAAGGATCGTGCACAGTAAGACTGATAAGACCTGTTTTCTTCACCTTACCCCGATCTGAAAGCGGCTCACTGGGGGCCCTTTTGTATGAATCACTAAGCTGAGAAAAGAGGAGCTTAAAAAAGAAGTTCTCTCTCTTCGTCAGAGGATAAAATTGGGGTGGGGACGAATGGCCTGCTGAAAGGATAATTGAATATTATGGCCTGGCTACCTGGGCACAGGATGGGACATGGGGGTATAGGACCCCGATTTACCTACTAAATCATCTCATCAGGTTGCAGGCTGTAGTAGAAATTGTATCTAATCACACCTCTGGCACTAAGCAACATTCTCAGATGAGAACGCTCGTCTACCAGAACACGATAGCTCTCAACTATTTACTGGCTGAAGAGGACGGAGTCTGTGGAAAATTTAATGAGTCACAGTGCTGTGTAGAGATAGATGATTATGGGGAAACTATCAGGAATTTGGCCACAGAAATCAAACGAGTAGCCCATGTTCCGGTACAAAAATGGAATTTGATTCTCCAGGCTTCCTGGTGGGATAATCTGTTTGATGGGGCCTGGCGGAAAAAGATTATATTCTTTATTCTCTGTTCAATAGCAGGTCTCATTTTTCTACCCTGGGTCATACCTTGCTTCATCTGATTGATACACTCTGTGGTACAGGGGATGCAAGTGGCAACCATGCCTACAGATCCGGAATTTGCAACAGGGAAAGCCACCCAAATATCTAAAATAATTAAATTAGGGGAAGGTAACCCCATCACAGAGCAGCAGAAGCTCTGGAAAAATTTGAGGGTCAGATAAAGGAAGAGAAGACATATAAATTTTATCATGAAATTTTAGACGGAGAAGGGGAAGATGAGATATGAAAGTTGTCTTCATATTGGGTGTAGGGAAAGCAAATGTAGTTACAGATGCAAATTAAGGGATTAATGTAAAGAATTAATGTAAAAGGGGAGGGATTGATATAAATGATTATAATTTGTGCCTCTGAGATATTGGTTTATTAAATGTGGAAAATATGATTCAACATATCAAATGTTTAGTTTAGTATAAAAGCACACACCAGTGCTGCGGCCAGCCACCAACCCCCATATTCGGGTTCCACCTAAGCCAGACAATGTCTCATTTACAATCGAATACATGTGGCTTGCCTGGAGATGGGCTGTTCCAGGAACCAATACTGGGACACCTGGAAGATGATCATCCCGGTAACGACTTGAGAATGGGATCTCTGGAAACCTCTGGGCTGATACATCTGAAAGTCACAGTTCCCGTAACTCCATCAGCAAGATCGTCCACAGCTGGACTTGGATTGTTTGAACTCGGCCTAGAGAAAAGAACTTTATGAATATGGGGAACTCTGAATGGAAAGAATAGACGGATGGCTGAAATCCTTGCCTTGGGCGGAAAGTTTTCTATAATAACTGCAGGGTCCAAGAGGGTGGTGTGGGTGTCCAGAGGAACCTCTGCTGAGAGGCCTCCTTTCTGTCACTCATCCAGCTCTGAACCCGGGGTTGGCACTGCCCTTTTTCCTTATGGCTGGTGAGATAGATTTTGATCGTAAATAAAATTCTGTTTATTTCATTTTTAATTTGGCTGGACAAATTTTCATTTATAACAGTGTTGTCACCAAATCAGGCTCCAGCAGAGGCAGAGGCTGAGCCAGGGGCTCCTTGCATCCCCTGAGCACCAGAAAGGCACAGAGAGAAGGCTTTCCCACCACACTGCGCCGCCTCCTTGACATGGAAAGGGATGGACCCAGCACCGCCAACTCTGTGGGACCCCCAGAGGCCTGTAGGGCTCTGTCCATCCACTGTCTGGGAGCCCAATCCACCCCAGAGGAATCAGTCATGACCTGAGCCAGAACCATCACCCAGAGCAGAGTCCTGGTGGGAAGGGGAAGGCTCCGATCCACGCAAAGACTCAACATTCACTTCAGCCTCTGAAAAGACTTCAGCGTCACCCCATTCAGAGGCTGGGGGGGGCTGAAGACCTGCCAAAGCTTATCAATGTGTCTCCAGTTCAAGAGCATCGCCACCACGCCTGCACTATAATCAACAGAGAGAGAGCCCATGAGGTGTTCTCCCAGGAGACCCCACACCTCTCTGGAGAACGCCTCCTCAGGGGCTGAAAAGAGCCCATGATCTTTGCCCCAGTAAAACAGTTGCTTAAAGCCATCCCAAAGAAGAGAAGCCCTCTTTTGTTCCAGAGGAGCTTCCCAGACATCCAAGACCAGGAAGTCCTCCATAGAAATCACAGGGGTTGCCCTGACCACAGGCACTGCAGGCAGAGAGAGGCAAAGAGGGAAAAAGAATTAAAAGAATTAGAGAGAGGGTCGAGAAATAAAAGACCTCACCCATGGCTGTCCTACACATGGTGGCCACCAGCGGTTGCACTATGACACGAAAAAACTCACACACACTAGATGCAAAAGAGGGAAGAAAATAGCAAAAGGAGGGAACTTTATTTCTGACCTAGCAATATATAGAATTCCAAAAGTTACAGTGGATTGTGTGGGAACTCAGGGCAGGGGGAATATCCCCTTGTCTGCCCTGGGGTGCTCTGACTTCCAGGAAAACACTGACCCTCATTCATGGAGAAGGCCTCCTAAGCCTCAAAGTAAACTAAAGACCACAAAAGTGTGAAATAGATTGTAGTGAGTAGTTTAGTATGTCACATGGGTGAGAAATTTAGATTTTATGATTTTTAGCATACTGTAGGTGGGTACAAGATGGAGGGTACAGGGTGCTGTCTTGAGTTCCTTTTGTCTTTCTTCTTCTTCCTTCTTCTTGGGTTTGGGTGGTATCTTGTAATTGGATAGAACAATCCACATTGCGGGTCTTTAGGGGTCAGTTATTGGGTTAGAAAGGGAAATAATCTAGGTGTCACTTCTTAACTGGGTAATTTAGTTTTTGATTAGACTTAAAAAGACCTTGCAGCATGAATTTGTTAGCCATTTTTGTGCTGTTTTCACGCATTAAAGCTCTGGGTGCAGACAGTGTGCTGAAGTCATGATAAGATAACAATAAAACAAGAGCCTGAAGACTGAAAAAGTCCTGTGCGCCTGCTTTTCCTGACAAAGAACTGCTTCAGGAGGGTTTCCCCCTGCCAGAGGAGCCGTCAGCGAGTTGCCCGACATGGGGCCTGCAATTTCACAGATTGGAGGGTGAAATTGCCACCTCTCCAACCACACTGGTCAATTCCCTCCTCCCACAATGAAGAATGCAAAACAACCATTATTTACATGAACAGTGTGAGAAAACTCCAGTAGAAATATGTAAGCATCAGAAGGCATAGAAAACTTTTAGGAGAACTTTAAAACTCTCAAAAGAACAGGACGATACCATCTTAGGAGGGCACAGGGATATACTGACATACCTCTCTTAATGGAGGATGGAGGTTGTCTCCTGTTCATCAGTCTTGGTTGCAACCAGTGGCAGAGGTCACCAGATATAGCTGTCGTATTAGGGATGGCTGAATGAAGCGACACAACTCCAAGGTCTTCTAAGAAGGCAAAATGTGAAGTTTATTAGACATATCATTCTTTTATAGACTGTTCAGAGAAAGCTGGACCTGATTGGTCCTCAATCAACACCCCTCACATCATTGGCTAATTAGGAAAAACATCCTTATTTTAAACATCTTACAAATAAACAACAAATTCAAAACACCAGCTGCAAAGATTGAAGATTATTTTAATTATTTTTCTGAGTTTTCTCAAAACTCCCCAGAGCAATGCCTGGGAAATTTTATCTGATTTTTTCTCTGACCAGACTGTCAGCATCCACACCATTTCTACTTATAAAGAAGAAGGATTGCAGAAATGAAGCAAAGCAACCTAACCTCACACTAATAAGCAGGAAGAGACAGAGGACAAAAACAAGGAACACACAGGACTGGAACTCACAACCTCTGGACCAGCAGTGGGGGACCTAACTCACCATGCCACTGCTGGCCCCTGGCCAAAACTAGCCAGTGCAGTGCTAAAACTCCTCTCTTTTAAGGGGCGTCCCTTCCTATGAACAGTGAATGGGGGTAACAACAAATGAATGAAAACCCACCCTTGGACCCTCTTGGATCCTTCCACATATCATACAAAACCATAAGAGATATCTTGGCACAAAACCTAAGTGCTAACAACAAAACAACACTTTTAACTGGTTTACTCACTTGCCTCTGTGCTGGATTTGGAGGATCCTTGGATTCTGACACTGCCTGGATGGTAGGCACTGCCCCCAAAAGTGCTGGTGGGGGGCAGGGGTCAGGAGGGTGGTGTAGCTGGGTCTTACCCAGTCCAGAGGATTCTCCACAGGCCCTGCTGACCTTTGTGGTTGCCAGAAATTGATGCCTTTTTCAGGGCTACCTAAAACAGAGGACAGACAAAATTAAGAGAACAAAAGCAGTATATTTCAGGCAGATGAAACACCCCCAGGGGCTACACCCAAAAAGGACAATGGTTCATAAGTTTTCATGCTTTTATAAGTTTTGTCCATTTACATATTGGGGTTCAATCTTCCAATTACAGCTTCAGGTAATTAAGATGTTTTACCCCCAGTTTGCTCCACCCCAACTCATTTTCTTTTATACTTCTCGGGGCCTGAGACAGTAAGGTGTCCTTGATTCCTAGCCCTAGAGAGGAATTGTTTTGTCTGACCAAAATGTGAAGACATTAGTTAGCACTGTATATGGAGTTTAGAGCTATACACTAAAGAATTACAGGATTACAAAAGCATGAAAATATACAAGGTAAAATTCTAAGGCATTAGTGGAAGCAACCCATTCCAGAGTTTTTCTCCTTAAATTGTCTCAAACCAAGACATTTTGCCTCCCAAATTTAGGGACATGAGAGACAAATTGAAAAAATAACAATTTTGTCCGGGATATTTTGTATTGACTTCAGAACTCACTGGTCATCATGCTGCCTGGTTTAATCATGGGGCTGTGGCACCTAGGCATGTATACTTCTCCATATACATGGGTAATTTTGCCCAAGATGTGGATCTTTTTTGGATCAGGGATACAAACCAGGATTGCTGTGTAGATATACTCTATAACAACTTATATAAAAATAATATCAGAGGTAATTGGAATTATTTGGGATTATTGCTATTTGTTGTGTATTATTGCTCTTTGCCTGTTCTGGTCTCAGCTGCTACTTTTGAGGGTTAATCACACCTAGCCTGTTGGGAAACCAGTAGGAAATTATTTTTCCCAGCCTTTTACCTCCCTCCCCCCACTTCAGGTCTGACAGTTACCTTTAGAAAATGTTCTCTTCCTTCTGATATTAAAGATGCCATATTTTTGTTGTTAACTCTTCTCTATATGGCCTACAGCATGTTTAGAATCAGGGCTGATATTTCCAGGGAGGCCTGCCACAGTGGTGGAAAATCCTGAGTAATGTGGCATGTGGAAGGATGTAGTCTACCCCTGAAGAAACACTCTGCACCAATAGTTTGGAATTTTCCTCTTGAATAAATTGAGAACTCAGATGAGAAAGAGAAATATCTGAAGAAAGTTGCAGTGACAACTGCAAAGAGAAGCAGTTCATTGCACTGTGCTGGGTAATGCTTATTGCACACTGCTCAATACCTTAGAACAACAGATACAGCCAGAGGGGAAGGAGGAAAAATCATCAGAAACCCCAGTCACTCAGGTTGCTAAAAGGGCAGCCTAAACTAATATGGTCACCTGTGTCCAGAGGAAGAAATACAAGACCAAATCCTTTCGTCCAGTGGATGATGATGGGGAGTCAGGACCCTCACAGCCAGCGTAGGAATTGAAATCAGAAATTACCGCTGAGTCTTTGTCCTTAGAAAGTCCCCACAATCTGAGAAAAGACCTCACCCAACAGCCCAAGGAGTCTATATTGCTGATCACAGTCTCTGACTCTGCAAGTGATGGTACAATTTTGGATGGTACAAATTTGAACACAATTTTGGTACTGAAACAAGGCACTTGAGATCCTGTCACATGATGTGGGACTGCAAGGAGGTTTAAACCTCTCAGCCTCTGGACTCAGCTCTTAAGAAGTGTGCAGGAGACGTACCTCTGATCAGAAGATCTACAGTCACACGAAGGCTCTTGGAAGACCACGGAGCAAGAACTCCCATGCTTGAGAGAACTGGCTGTGACAGAGCCCCTTTTTTCAAATGCCCAAACCACTAAGAGTCCAGACATGGTAACATTGATGTGGCCCAAACTTGCATGACTCAGGACACAAGTGTACGGCCATGCCCTAGCAACACTGTGGTGGATTGAGGAGGGCACTATAATACTAAAAAGGTTAATTTAATTTCTACTGTAACTGTGAGCTTTTAGTAGAAAGACACTGTAACTGAACTTTTAACAGAGAAGACTCTGTGTCTGCAGACTTTTAGCAGAAAAGTAAGGCATGCAGAAATTGCTACCCAAACAAGGACATTAGAAGATAAAGAGGAGACATCTGGTTCCGGAATACAGCTACAGCCAAAACAACAACTGAGTTTTTCAGAACTTGAGGAACATGAGGAGGGTTATAGTAATGGCGAAATTATAATATGCATGTTGTGACTGTATATTAGCAATACACTTGTAGAAATTGGGAGTCATTTTAGGAGGAGTTATCCCTCATGCCCTCCCAGGGGCCTGAATAGATTATGCCCTCTTGAACACAAAGAAAATTTGTGTTTAGGAGTCTTATTCCAGTTTTCAGAGATTTGGTGATAAGTGGGTGCTATGGCAAGGAGACTCCAGGCGTATGAAGACACTGTCCATACCTCAACACAAGCCCAACTCTCGGCTGTGGAAATTTACTTGACTGAGCTTATGCAGAGATTGGAAGACAGGACTGAAGAGACCCTTCAGAAACTCAGCAAGGAGCTTAAAGAGGGCCTTCTCCAAATGTCATCAGTATAGATCAAAGCCCCTGTTATCAGCAGCAGGTGTTGCCCATATAGGGAGAGGGGGTGTGCACCCCACGAGCTGACCTGTGGTTCTTCCTATGTGAGCTTGACCAGGAAGAAGTGGAGGAAGAAACATATTCTAGACAAATACATTTCTGAAATCCTATTCTAATCTTGCTTCTTCATTGAAACAAGGCTATGTTCCTTTTCCATATATGAAGACATAGACAATGTGGGGCTGATATAAAAGGGGGAGGTTTCAGTAGGGGGCCAAACCAAGAGGAAAATTACATCATTAACTGTACTTCTAATGGGGATATTTGTCAATGATGCTAATTTGCTAAACATATAAAAGTGTCGGAGCCCTATATTGAGTGCATTGTTGGTGTGCATTCTGCTGTACCTTTCACCGTAAGTGCACCTGAAAGACCTTCAATAAATGGTAACTGCTTTTTGTCCTTCAATTATTTTGGCTTGTGATTTCAGGGCTGATAAAGGTATTAGACTAACCTGCCGGATATATGCTGGGAATTCAACACAGCACAGAAGAGGCAGTCTAGGAGGTTCTTGGAGTGTATGGAGGAGAGCTTCTCACAGCTGGTGAGCAAGCCTACCAGGTGCGGGGCTCTGCTAGACCTGCTGTTTACAGAGGAGGCCTGGGGGAAGATGGGGGTTCTGAGGCCATCTGGGGTACAGTGACCATGAATAGAGCTCTCAGTATTCACTGAAACAAGGAGGTGCATTCAGAAAACCGGACTTACAGAGGGCAGATTTTGGCCTATTCTGGCTGCTCATTTGGACAGTGCCTTGAGAAACAACCTTTAAAAACAAAGAGCTCCAGGAAGGATGGACATACTTCAAGAAAGAAATTTTGAAGGCCCAAGAACAGACTTTCCGAAAGATGTGCCAAAAGATGAGCTGATGGGGAGAACAAGCAGCATGGCTGGGCAGGGAGCTTTTGAAGGAACTCAGGGAAAAAAAGAGGGTGTATCACCTTTGTGAAAAGTGGCAGGCAACTCAGGAAGTGTTCATGGATGTCATTAGGTCATGCAGAAAGAAAACTAGCTAGATGACAACTCAAACAGAACATAATCTGGCCACTTGTATAAAGGATAGTTAAAAGTGTTTTTATAAATATATTATTAGCTGTTCTAGTTACAGGAATAGTACACCAGTTTAGCACTATGTGGGTGTAATCAAACTGTATTTTACTCTCCTCTGTCATTTCTGCTGAACTGTTCATGATGGGTTGTGTGCAGTAGCTGCCCAGTGCACACCTGACACCTCAGGTTACAAACTGGGTGTTAATTAAGAAAGGGAAAAAGAGACAAACCCCACAAAGCAAGTAGAGTTTCTTTTTTTCACAGCAATGACTCAGCTGTGATAACTCTTCTCTTGGGGAGGACCAGCATATTCACACCGAGTCTGAGAGGTCATCTCTGTTAGTGGGCTAAACGGACTCAATGGCTTCAGCAGAACAGGCTACTGTAAAGACTTAAAACAGTAAAAAATTCCCAAAATGTCCTCATATGGGAGTCTCACATATGACTCACAGTGTTACATCATCCATTGTGAAACTTCCTGCCCTGGAGGAGGTACTGAGAATTCCCACCTGAACCTGATAATATATAAATCTTTGGCTTGCGGACTTCTGGTATCACTCGAGGATCCAGAGTGAGAGAAGAACTTCAATGGGACTGCAACCACTGCTTTTACAAGACTGCAATCATCACTCTGACCATCCTGGTTATAGTCTGGCAACCAGGTTATACTCTGTCTTTTTGTGTTAAAAACAGATTTCTGTGTATCAGTGTATTTATTGCACAGGGCCCCGCAGGCCGCTGTGTGGGAGCAGCCAAGGGGCCAACGTGTTTGGGGGAACTTTGGTACCGGGGCCGGTGTCTTTTGTGTTCAGTGGCAAAGTGGAGAGGCGGTGGTCGCTGCCAGTGGGACCCTGCGTAGTGCCCAGCGCAGCGGTGACACCGAGACCCACACCGACTTCTTGACAGCAATAGAGGCCCAGGAGCTGCTCAGCACCGGCCGCCCCCGCCACCCCCAAAGGAGCTGGTGATCCCCTAATCCCCTGTCAGCGCTTGAGGAGCCCGGAACGCCCCGCGCCCATGCATGTCCAGCCCGCACTGCTGATGACAGCCTCAGCAGGGATCCCACTCCCGGCGGGGCTCCCCGGACCTCCTCTGGGTGCAGGCTCAGGTGGTGCAGGAGCTGCTGCAGGAGGCACGGCAGAGCCAGGAGCAGCCCGAGGGGCCCTATTGCTACCCCCCTCCAGCTGCCCGACAAAGACATTGCCACAGGGCCGCTGCCGACCCTTAGGACTATGAGGCCATGCCCGTGGGCCATTTCGGGCTGGCCATGCTGTGGGGTGTGGGCTTCAGTATGAACTGGAGTGCAAGGCAGCAAAATGGGATCCAACTCTCTACAGCACAAATGTGTTTTTCTCTATTCTTCTAGCAGCAGAGTGCAGGCCACATTTTGCTGTCACTTGGAGGATGTGCAGTGTACCTGGAATTGAATGCATCAGGGGTGGAAGCACAGTCCTATCATTTTCTATGGACTGATCCAGACTGCACAGAAAAGGGTGAAGTTCCAGAACACTATCAATGACCTCATTGTAGAGGGCAACACATCAGAAGATGTTTTTGAGAAAGGGGAGAAAATAACTCGGATTCTCCAGAAAGCTGTTTTTGTTATTAAACAAATAAGAGACCTGCCCAGGAAATTCAGTTCCTAGCAGTGAAGTAGCAAGATGGCTGTCAACAGATTTCAGCAGAGGTGATTAGTAAGATAGCTGCCATGTTCTCACTGACCAGAAAGAAAAAACCCACAGGCTCTCCTAGGTGCCGTGGGTTTTTGAAAGATGCACATCTCAGAATACAACAAGATTGTGAGCACTTTCTACATTGTGACACGGAGAAAGAACTGTTTAAAGTGTGGCCCTGAACAACAGCAAGCCTTTGAACAGATCAAACAAGAAATTACTCACACAGCCCTTGGGCCAAGCAGGACAGGATGTGAATTATGTGCTGTACATATATACATACAGAGCCTGGAGCCTCTGGCAGAAGGTACCTGGAGGGACTCGAGGATGACCTCTTGGGTTGTGGAGTCAGAGGATCTGAGCCAGCTGCAGAAGAGATTCTTGCAGCCTATGAAGGGGTTGGAGCTACTCAGAACTGATTGGCACTGAAGCACAGCTTCTTCTAGCATCCTGACTACCAGTGCTGGGCTGGATGTTTAATGGAAAGGTCCCTGCAGTATGTCACACCACCAGTGCTACCTGGAATATGTGGTTTGCCCTCATTACACAACAAGCTCAAACAGGAAATGCAAATTGTCTTGGGAACTTGGAAGTTATCACAAACTAGCCTGAAGGTGACAACAATCTGCCTACCTTTCCTAAAGGTGAATGCAATGCAGATTATGTTCATATATATTCTCCTATAAAGGGAGACAACTCATTCCAGAGTGCTCTCCTTTATCTGAAACCAAGACACCAATGACTGGGAAAAGGGAAATATAACCCCATTTTTAAAAATTGGAAAGCCAAAGACCCAGGGAACTACACACCAGTCAGTCTCACCTCTGTACCAGGCAAGATCATGGAGCTGATTCTCCTGGAAATTATCCTAAGGCGTATGGAAAACAAAGAGGTGATTGGTAACAGCCGCCATGGCTTTACTAGGGGCAAATCATGCCCTGACAAATTTGGTGACCTTCTGTGCGGGGGCTACAGCGTTGGTGGGTGAGGCAGAGCAACAGGCATCGGTCACCTGGATTAATGCAAAGCGTTTGACGCTGTCCAGAGTAACATCCTTGCCTACGACCTTCCCACCGTGCCAGCCCCAGCCAACACGTCCGTATTTGTCGGCTCATTCTTGGGGCAGCGGGTGGGGTTCCATGCGCTGGGTTTCCCCGTGCCCCGCCGCCTGGCACAGCAATAACCCATCGCATGTCCTGCCATCCCCGGAGCATCACGAGTGGAGCGGATCCTGCGGGCGCCGGGCCCTTCGCCGGGCCCCTCTAGTGCACCGAGCGGGCGAGGGTCGCTCCGGCCCGACCCGGCGGGGACAGAGGCGGTAGCGGGGCGGGAGCATCTTCCCGGAGCGGAGGGTGCGGGCACCCCTCGTCCCGGCCGTCTCCAGCGGCCGGAGCCCTCCGCCACCTCTTCGCCCCCGGAGCCACCGTGCCCGGGCCGGGCCGCCCCGCTCGCTGCCCGCCGGGTGCGCGGGACAGCTCCACTTCACACACGAGCAAAAGCAGGGCAAGCGTCCCCCGGCTTTCCCTTCCCCTTCCCCATCCCTGATGGGACACCGTAGTACTTCGGCCGGAGGAGGCGTCCAGACAGCCCCTTCTTGCTCTCCCTGGCCGCCGCGGGAGCCGCCGGGGCGACTCGCCTTGCCACCCGTCTGCTGCTGCACCCTGGGCAGTCACCCACGCACCCTCCCGGGCTCCCCTTCCCTCAGGATCCTTCTTCCAAAGAGGCGTTTCTGGCTGGAAACTGCCGGCTGCAGCAAAGGGTTTGCATGCCAGGGTAACCATCCCAGTAAGAAAGGCACCTGGAATCTGAAAGCATCATTTAAAATAAGACTTACAAAATCTAACAGCATAAGGAAGGAAAACTATACAGTTAAACTTACGTTCCTTTGGATGCTGGGAACTCCGTGTTGTGCGGCACTGGAGAGTAGCAGCATGCCCTGCAGACTCCACCAGATGGAAGGATTTGTCTGTTCTGGTCATTCCAGCATTTGTAGGATTTTCCTACAAGAAAACAACTCCATTCATAATTTCTACTATCAAACAGAGAGGATGTTTACATGAGAACTTCGTATGCCGTGAGATAAAGACAAGGCCGTGCAGGTGTGTAATCACCGGTATGGAGTGGGAGCTGCTCCACTGTTATCATGATCCGACCGAATCTGCCCTGCACCGAGGCAAAGTGCAACATGACACAAGCCTGAAGGTGATGCTGTTGGCACGCAACACAGCATGGCCTGGTGCCTTCACAGATTCACTGTTACGTGGATCACTAATCTTTACTGTGCGATGGTCTTTAAGTCAGAATCACTGCAGGAGCGCATAAAAGTAGTTTGAGATCTCCATTAGTCTAGAAATGGTTTGGAAGATCCTGAAATTAAAAGAAAATGTTCTCTGTAGCAGGGAAGTTAGGATATTAGCATGGAGCATGTTGCTTATGCTGGTGAGGTAGCAGTGTATACAGAGTCCCTACACTGACATTTTGACAGTATAATTTATATTAAGAAAAAAGGATTGTACTGGTCAGCAAGTTTTAATGTTTAGAATGTTAGCTGGAGCTCAGCTGAAACATGATCAATAGTTGTCATGAAGGAGGCTTTGGCCTAGCAGGCAGAATCCAGCTTCAAAGTTTTATCTTTGAAGCTGAGATTTATCTGTAACACATGGTATCTTCTCCTAGAGGATCTTAGTTACAAGGCATTCTTTGATAATAAAATTGCTGTAGTCTGACTACTAATTTCACTGAAGTCTGTTACAAACTCCAGAATGATACTGAAGTTTATTGAGATTCTCTGCTGGTTACATAATAATTGTCTTTATTTATTGACAGAAAGTACATCACCATCTCTGTCTTTTAGTTTCTTTTCTATGGATATTCCTCATTTTATTGTCCTTGCCATTTCACTAGTTGCTTTGTAAAAATAATTTCTATAATGAATGGAGCTACAGTGAAGACTCACTTGTGTAATATTTGGACTAACTTAAAGCTCCACTGAAGTGGCCAGCGGTTGTCTCGCAGGTCTTGTTGCAGAGCAGACCTCTCTGAGCACTACTCAATATCCTCCATCTCCACCTGTTCAGCAGCACCTTGGGATAGGTTCTTATTTGTCTTACACAAAGTTTGTCTGCAAACACAGCAAGCATGCTAATGTCTGTACCAAATAGCAGAAATAAACAAGGGAAGTCAAGCATACTTTTCATGTGAAGTTCCTGAACCATGCTTTCTTCATATAGCAACACTTAAAGCTTTCTGAGGGCAGCTAATGTAACCTCTTATATCACCAGTATTTCATCTAAGAAGGATCTTTTTGGATGTTCTGCTACCCTTGAAGTAAACATGACAGAGATTGTCATTCCCCTTGTAAGTCAGAAGGACCATCTGGTACTATATTAGAACAGTATTCTATTAAATTCATCAGCATGCTAATTATAGGATGACTAGTGAATGGTTAAACTGCCAGATGCTATGAAGATATATCACTGCCTGTTTACATAGTTAGGCAAACGTTTAATTAATCCTCCAGCTGCTGTGTCTGCTTTACCTATGAACATATCTCGATTGCATTCACCTGTGCAAAAGGCAGGCCGTCATTGCCTTTCAATACGATTCAATTGCCTTAAACACAGCTTTGGTGCAGGATACAGCATATACATGTATGATTTAAATATACATGCTGGTAATTGCATCAAAACTAATTACAGACTCTTCCACTTCAGTTCATGGATTGTGCTCCCTGATCTTTTAATGGTCTTGTTTTGAAAAAGCTTTGAAAGCTGAGTTGTTTTAGAGACTTCTGCAATGCCATGTTAGAAAACTCAATATACAGCCTCAGTTAATAGGATGTCTACAAGTCATCCTGCAGCCTTTTACTTTTCCCCATTTGAAGGAGTCTTTCATTCAGAAAACACTGAGGAGGGTAAGTGACCTTCCAATGTCACACAATATTTAATATTGGTCCCAGGGTGTTTAGCATTCCCATGAGACTGCTTCTTTACTGAAATACTGAAAAACAGAACCCATTTGGGATGTGGCCTTGGGCTAAGGATGATTTGCAAAGAGAGTGTATCTCCTTTATAATTTGAAGTGTGTGTACTTGGCTCTCTTTGGTATTGTAAGGTCTAGAGATGAGATCTGGAAAAATGGGACTTAGTGATCTAGCTAAAGTCTAGCCTCCATTCACTCAAGTTTCCATTACCTTTCCCTTCTTTGTGTTTAGGAACAATATTTCAGTGCTTTATTTTCACTTAGTACTGAGCCCATAGTCAGCCTGGACTTTTTGTAGAATCCATCCCAAGGCACAGACATTGTGGAGACCAAAGATGCACATGGACATCAGGCTGAGATGCAGCTGCATATCTCGAGTCCCCTGAGTCAAAAGCTTTTTTGGATAGTCAGCATCCTTGGCTGGACATTGTCTGTTGATCTCTGTTGATTGCAGAAGATGCTTCATGCAACTGAAATTGCCAAAATTGTGTTGTGTTTTTGCAAAAAGTTCTTGGCATGATTTTGGAATGGGCCTACAAGCATTTTTCCAGACAATGAGCATAGGAGTTACTACATAACAAAGAGCAGTGCTAACAGGCAGAATAGATGCAGCCAAGCATTTTGGAGGCTAAAGCAATTTAATAGTATTTTGTGACAGTTGACCTTTTTGCCACAGTATTGACAAGAGTAGGAAGAAATAGGATATACTGTGAAGTTATTCAGGAGATACCAGGGACATAGGCTTTAGGGAAAAAAGTGGGACTTTAGAACTTCTACAGTAAAAATAATAGTTTAAATATTTTCACAATTTTAAGCCTACTTTATTTATAATTTTCTTCTTCCTTTGCTAGCATTCCTTTTAGCCAGTTTTCATAATATGTGTCTCATGAGACATACACAGCATTCCCTCTTGAGCACAAACACTGACAATGTGATCCACGTGATGGCTCTGTCAGGATTAGATACTGGTAAACACACCTCATGCAGCTCAACAACTGAAATCCAGACAGAATATTTGAGAGTATGTGGTGGCTTAACCCTGGCTGGGTACCAGGTGCCCACCAAAACTGCTCAGTCATTCTCCTACTGAGCTGGGCAGGGGAGAGAAAATATAAAAAAAAAAAAAAGGTAAAGACAATTATGTTACCAATACCAAGAACCATCACAGGCAAAAAAGACTCGACTTGGGGAAATTAGTTCAGTTTATTGCCAATTAAATCTGCATAGGACAATGAGAAATAGAACCAAATCTTACAACAACTTCCCCCCACCTCTCCCTTCTTCCTGGGTTAATTTTCCTCATGAACTCTATGCCTTCTTCCCCCCAGCAGTGCAGGAAGACAGGGAATCGGGGTTGCAGACAGTTCATCACACATCTCTATGGCTGCAGGGGGATAGCTGCTCCGCTGTGGACATCTGTGGGCTACAGGGCCACAGCTGCCTCACCATGGTCTTCATCACGGGTCTCAGGGGAATCTCTTCTCTGGCACCTGGACCACCTTCCTCCCCCTCCTTCTCCACTGACCTTGGTGTCTACAGGGCTGTTTCTCTCACATATTATCACTCGTCTCTCCAGCTGAAGTTGCTGTGGATTTTTTCCCTTTCTTAACTTTGTTATTCCAGAGGAACTATCTGATGGCCTTGGCCAGCAGTGGGTCCCCCTTGGAGCCAGCTGGCATTGGCTCTGTTGGACATGGGGAAGCGCCTGGCAGCTTCTCACAGCTGCCACCTGTGTAGCACCCCCCAACAAAACCTTGCCACACAGACCCAATGCAGAGATAAGATACTGGTATCTCAGGAGCTGTGTTCAGTGCTTGAAAGTCTTCTTGGAGTTTGTGGTGTTTTCCTAGGAAAGCAAAAAGGATGTGTCTGTGGTCATCCCTTGCAGTTTTCCTTACTCTCTGTGTTTGGATTAAGAGTGTTTTGTCCTCTGACACACTCAGTTTTGTGCACACGGTAAAGTCGTCTGTGGACTGGGTCTGCAACACCAAGAAATGGCCTTTCCTCAGAAGTTCCCAGTTGGGAAAAGCACAGCACTTGCAAAGTGTTACATTTGATGGTTATGGAAATTTTTCCTCTGTTTCTTTTAAAGATAGCAAATTTGCTGACTTTCTCAGGCACACTGCTAAGGGCATTTATGTAAGAGGGTTTTCAGAGGAGGCAGAGACATGCATTCCATCTGACAGTGGAGGTAGATAGTTGGCTGAACTGCTGAGGCTTAACTTGACAGTATTTTTTGCATAATTTATTATAGCAGTTCCATAGGGCCTTGGAAACCAATCTTGATTATTTTAGATTTAAATAAATAAATGATGGATTGTGGGACAAACTGGCACTCCATTCCAGGAGATGAACCTGAGACACATCAAAGGCAGGTTCCTAGTGCCAGAATCAACTGCAGTTTTGCAACTAAACTAAGCTATGCAATTATCTTAAACCACAATAATCCTGTTGGATTTGCAGGCGTAAATTTAGCATCAATCTCCTTACAAAAACAAATAAACAAAATCAGCGCTGCATTTTCATGTTAACACAGCACAGTGCCAGAATGAATTATCGTCTACGTTCAGAAGCACTGCTGCTGTGCTGGTTGCCTTGCAGATAAATTAAACTGTGTAACTCTTTGTCTGAGAAGCTTATGACTACAGAGCACAGCAATGACCTGTAGAGATTGTGACCAGTAAGGTAACTGGGAAAAAACTATGATTGTCTAATGCAGTGCTGGTTAAGTCAGCATTTTACCCTGCTGGGGTGTGCAGCCCTGCTGCTTTCCTTCATTGTTGGCTCCATTCGCCTATCCATCCCCTCACCTCTAGGGAAAAAGAACTGCAAGAGTTAACCCTAAGACAGATAAAAGATGGTTATGGCAGAAAAGTATCCCCAGGGCTAGAAGACAGGACACACCACTACCAAGAGATTTGGGTGGCTAAAGTACTGTGAGTGAGAAAACAACCAAAGGTGCAACACTCCTCTTAAACCAATGGGGAGAGACGGCAGCGGCAATGCAACAGAGATTAACTAAGGTGAGTCAGTAAGCAAGCAAATAAATAAATAAATGACCATTACA